GGAGCAGGAGGGAATGCTGGGAGACCCACATAAGAAAAGGCCTCTGTCAATTGCAGGAAAGTAATCCTTAGGTCTGCTGGAAATAAAAAAGACTAAAACCAGCAAGAGAACTCTGGAATTTGTTTTAATCTAGTAAGACACTTGAAACCACAGAACTTAAGATCCATACTGAAGTTTTAAGAATTAATCTCTTTGTCAGTTGTTAAGCCTTCCCTTTTAAAAGAGCTGTCTTTTTTCTTCATCTGATTCTACTAAACCATAAAAGTATTGATGTTTGACAAACTTACTTTATAAGAAGGGAAAGACAGGTCCACATGAAAACTCTGACAGGTCAGGTTAATACTACTCTCTGTGTGAAGCCTAAAGATGATGGTGTTTGTAAAGGATTAATAAGAAGTCTTTCCCCTTTAGGCAACTGACAATTGTTCAACCAAATTGCTCTCTAATATGTATAGGAATAAAAAGTGTCTATGGGGTAGCTGAATGCCTGTCTTTGCTCAGGCCAGAACTCACCTGCCCAGTGAGGGGGCTTGAGTCCTTGCAGGGCAGCACTTTACTGCAGAGATTCACAACCTTTCAATAGCTAAGGTGTGCTGAGTTAAGTATCCTTCTTGCATCACCTCTGTTTCTGGTGCCCAAACCATGCTCAGATGTCTACTCATGTAGAAGCTCCTAAATTCTGTTCCTGATTTTAGTAGTCTGGTTTAGAGGCAACTATTTCTCCAAAGTATGTGTTCACTTGCATTAGGTACTGAGCCTTGCTTACAGATCTGATTTAGTCACAGAGAACCTTTGGATCCTGACAAATGCAAGGTGCCATTCTTATTGTGTAATGTTCTTCTTATTTATCTGTGAGAACTGTATTTGCTCTTTTTCTTGCAGGCCTGTTTTGCAATACAGAATCTTCTATGATACTGTGCTTGTAACGCTGCTTTTCAACTTTTATTTTTGCAATTCATGTTTAGATTTCTATCCATTCTCAGTGGAGAGCTGTATGTTTCACATTACTTGTAGATGTAATCACATCTGAACTAAAATATCAATATACCTATGTTTCTTACCATATTTTGTAACAAGGCTTTTACATGATGCACGAAACTTAATCTGAACTTCTGATTTCTCACAAAGGCTTCACCTTCTGTCAACGCATTACAACTAAAGAATATGAAGATCAAAAGCAACAAACCAATCAGTATCTTCTAGCACTGGTTCAAGACATAGACAATGACCCTACTGTTCCTTTGAAGCAAAAGAAGAAGTTAATCAAAGAATTTCGAAAATACCATTCTTTTGTCTACTGTAGTGGTTGTAAAACTACATGTGAATTTTGTACTCCAAATGGTTAGACTTCAATACAGCCTTTTTTAATATTTTTTAAAAGAGTGAAGGAGGCACATGAAAATTGCTCATAAAAAATGTTTTTATCTTCAGTTTCAGGAAGCTACAACTATCAAAATTACTATGCTGCTATAAAGCATTAAATCTAATTTATCTTTTAAGCAAAATATACTTAATTATTTGTAAGTAAGTAGTAACAGCTCACTGCTTGGGCTGCCTTGAGTTCAGGGTTTGGCACTTTTTTCAATCTGTCCCACAGCCCCATGGCTTTCTGTCTGAGCCACATCTGTGTTCTGAGCCATGCTTGGGTTGATAATCAGTAGGGGGTTTTAATCTTTTCTATCTTTAATTAATAATAACTTAATCTCATCTTAAACACAGGTTATGACTCCTGTGGGTATTGTAAAAGTGTATGAAGTGTGTAAAAAATGTTGGAAGCAGGTCAGTGGGTTTTGAATTTGCAGCAGGAAGGATTTATTAGGCAAGTGAGCTGTGAGTGCTTGCAGTCAGTAATTACAACCTGTTGTTACTGCCTCCCCACTCTGGCAGACTGAGCCTCTGCTAATTCAAGGAAAAAGTTACATTTTGAAGAAATCCTCTCCAGGTCTCTTTGTAGGCTCCCTTAAGGTACAGGAAGGCAACAATTAGGTCACCCCAAAGCCTTCTCTTTTTCATGCTCTCTCAGCCTTTTTTTAATAATAAATAAATATGTGATATAGTGTGAGAGGTTACATTACTTCTTTGATCCTTGCAACAGACATTTAGTCATGTATTGGACAAAGGCTCAAAGACTTGGTATTGGAAGGGACCTCTGGTCTACTCTCACCATTAAGTGGAGTTGATTAGTGCAGGCTGCTCAAGGACTTTTCCAGTTAAGTTTAGAATATCTACAAAAACAGATATGCCACAGCCTCTTGGGTGAGTCTGGTCCAGACTTTCACCAGTCTCACAGTATTTAAAAACAAGCAAACGAACCCTACCTCCACACAAAAAAGAAAGAAAATACCCAACCAAAATAAACTGCCTTATGCTTAGGCAGAATTTCTTGCACTGCCTCCTGTCCTTTTACTGGCACTGCTGAAGTGTTTGGCTCAGTCTTCTTCACTCCCTCCCATGAGCATTCTCAGGGCTAAACAATCACAGCACTCTCAGCCTCTTCCCTGTGTGACAGATCCTCTACTTTATCATTTTCTTGGCCCCAGTGCTGGACTAGTTCCACTATAAGCATGATTTAATGATTTATTTTTTTTCTGTTGTGAGTGTGCTGCTTTAGGTGTCTCCATCCTCCTGTAGGCTCAAATACAGTCAAGTGAACAGGATACCAAAGCTTTCTTAGAACAAGTGCTGTTTGTATTTTTTTTAATTGAAATAGTTGCACTGTAAGATATAAACAACACAACCTATTACCTGTGCACTTAGTTGACTTGCATATTTGAAGTAGCCTTATTTAAATTACCTGGCCCTATTAGAAATCAGGGAATGTAGTTGAAATCTCTGTCCATGAATCCATGTTTATGCACTTGTTATTTAAGTGTGACTCACCAGTGTGAAATAAATAATTTCTAGAGGAGGAAAAACATCCAAGTTTCCCCTTTCAGAGGTGAATGCCCTAATTCCTATACTACAGGGCCATGTATTCTTTTTCTAGCTCTGTGTGGGATTTTGGTCACTCTCCCAGAAGAGGGAGCATATACAGAAGCAGGTTATTGAGACTTGTAAACAGGAAAGTTTTTCCTAACTAAGTGCTTCTGGTGTTGCGTAGTAGAAGAAAGAGGTTTTAGTTGTTTTTTTTCCTAATCTCTCTCTATGTGTCTTCAGTCTGTTTACTGTGTCTTACTCAAAATACTAAACCTGGTAACAGGGAGGGATGATAATATGGTAATTTGTAGGCTGGATGGGCTGGGAATTGCTTTGGGGAAAAACTGTTTTGTTAAAAACAAACTTGCACTTTGTGACTTGATTTAGAATTTTCTTGTGGTAATTTAAATGTAATAAATAATTGTATAAAAAGTGATGAGCCTTTCATTTCATAGTGTGTTCATTGGGAAGAGGCAAGTCAAGGGGGGTAGAACCAGGTATTAAACAGTAAGGAAGTGTTCTGAGCAGCAGATTATAGCTGCCCTGTGGTTCCCTTTAGTTCATGGGACAAGAAGCTAAATTGATCTAGTTCTGAAAAGGAAAGGAAGAGCACTTGAGAGCCATGTTTTATTCACATACCCTAACAGAGGATCTACTTACCTTTTAATCTTCTCTTGACAGAAGCTTGTTATTTTACGTCTAAGGGCCCACAGAATAGGTTTGGTGAACTATAGACTACTGGTTTTCAGTTAAATTCCAAAATTAGAAAAAATTTACTGGACTTTAGAAAGTTCTGTCACATATTTTTACCAGTATCTGACACAGAATCATGTGCTAAGGAAACTTGGGACCTGTCACTCATTTCTGTTTATGATTTCTAGCATACAGCTATCAAATTAATTGCCAGTATGAATTTGAAGTAGAGTGTGTTCAGAGTGAAGAGTTTAATCAAGGTACTTTTCAGACTTTTCAGTACAGTCTTATCAAAGCGCAAGTGGTGCCACCTTCAAAGGAGGCTTGCTTCTATTCACAGAGCATTCATGTTTGCGCCTACAAAAAGTTCAATAGTGCTTTCATGAGAATGTGTATGTTTCTTTAAGTCCCAGCTAAAGTATGCTAACACTTTCATGAAGCACTTAGTTAAAAAACTAGAGCTTGGACACAAGGGCTTCTCCATGTGGCTGTCAAAGTGACAGTGTACGAGACTTACTCATGTCCTAACAAAGTCATACAGTCTGTGTCCAACAAGTTGTAAGTGCTGGTCTCACGCCTTCATACCCTAGCTGCTAACAGCAGGAGGAAGGTACTCCTTTCATTCCTTTCAGCAGCTTAGACTAGAGGAAAGCAACCTTGAGCTTCTTCCAAAGTAAAAAAAGCCACATTCAATAAGTAAGATTGTCTCCCTCTCTTTGAAGCACTGGCTGCTCTTCAATGTTGCCCTTAAGCAAGGTAGCCAGGTAAGTGCACTGTGTAGGAATATTTACTGGCTTTATGTTAGGATGGACAAGAGAGGGAATATGAGACACAACAGAACACTCCAGTGTCCATTTTCCACCCAATCTGAGTGCCTCTGTCTTGGCAAGCAAGCAGGCCAGGTGGGGCACCCCCATCTAGCCTGTCCCTCCAAGCCTTCTGCCTCTTAGGCCAGGCTCTTCTCCTTCCTGCATGCCATGCTGCACAACTGATAGCAAAGTAACAGCTTCTGATGCAAGAATAACAAGTTCCGGGGTGTTTGTGTTTATCTAGGATGTCTGGAGAGGACACAGATGGGTCATCACTCAGAACATGAACATAGCTGCAAGCTTTGTTCATCACCTTTGTGTCAATTTCTTATCAGAAAGATGGGAGTGGCAGGAAGCTTATTTGCTGGGGCATTGTTTAAAACAAAAAACAAACAAAAAACTCCACAACCTACTAAATTAAAAGCCCTTTAGAAAAATGAATTGTTCAAATTACTCTCAAAGCCTAAGCATATTGTCAATAGCAGTGGTCACATTTCAAGTATATTTCCCTCATAGCTACTGACTAAAATAACCAAAAATAACACTCATGTATTTCTTTGCAGGAAAGGAAACATCAAAGGCTACTTCTGAGATACATTTAATGCCCTTTTAGTGGAATATGTGAGTTAGAATAATACTCATTTTGAAAAAGAAAAAACAAACCCATTTCTTCTCACTGTGTATTAGCATCACACCAATACAAGTACTTGGTATTTTTATTGCCTCATGCACTGAGGTGTTCTGCAATAAAAATACAATGAAGCTATCAGAAAAGATACAAACATAAGGAAATTACAGTGAACATATTACTTCATAGTATTACGCTTGTAAAACTTTATTTCTAAACTCTTAAAATTATTTTTTCTCAACCCAATTCAATACAGGAAAGCTAAAACACAATCCTAGCTGATGGAAAAGGGGTTGTAGTTCAAAGAATTCCATTCTAAGTAAATCAATGGAATAACAACATATCCAACTATGCTACCTATATATCAAATTTTTCTTCACAGATATTGTGTCCATGTTCTTCATAGTCTTCTCTAGTTACTATCATGTCTTCAAAATCATCATTTTCAGAAATGAGCTTCCCACCTTCCCAAGAATAAGTGATAGGGCTGGAAAACGAAAGTTATTATTACTCCTCTATAGATTCATTTAAAATAGAAATATGCAGTGATGATTTCCAAGACTTTTATTTAGCCATACCTATTTAAACTACATTTTTGATTGCTAAATCAAACCATCCAGCTCCAGAGAAGTTATGAAACAAAGTCTGAAACTTTAGCAGGGCTAGCTGACTTGGGTTTTAAAAAGGGGCCTCTTTGAAGGCAGGTGTGAAGAGGGAACAACATGGATATGCTTTGTATTTACTTTGCACAGATAGTAATTCTTTAATAGTATTTAAAAATACTCCTTAAAAATACTTTTTTAAAAGTAGACTTTTTTTGGTATATTCAAAATATACTTGTTTTGTCTCCACTCTTTCTGTAAAGATGTTACCCCTTCTAACCCCTGAAGTGGTATATTGATAATGACACAGCAGCATTCAGATGCTGAAAATTCTAAGTAAAAGACCAAGTTCTATTCTTACATACTTGCAATACAGTCTTATTTATCTGTTTGCAGTAAAAAGGCTGACTCTACAGTTCCTTAACTTTATTAGGTAAAGTACAGAGCAAAAAGGTGATCGCTAGTTTATATGGCTTGTCTGAAAGCCATATAAATATAGATGCGTACACTGATTTAAAACATCCTTTTTGCACAATTTTTGTTCACTTAATATTTAAATTACTGCCTTTACTCAATCTACCTTCTTAATCAGCAAAAGAAACCCTACTTCATTGTTTGTTCTGCTAGAAAGATAAAGCCCCTTCTATTTATTAGTTTAGGACTTACTTTTCAGGAAGAACAACGGAAACATCATAGTCAGTTGGCGTAAGACATCTAACTTCAGAATAAACCCGATCTCTGAAGCCTGGAAAAAGGGTGTTTCCCCCAGTCAGAACTATGTTCTTGAAGAAATGAGGCTGCATTTCTGTAAAATAATTATGTAAATATGTAGTTAAGAGATGGAACATAAATCTAAAGATTAAAGGTGGTAATTTTTCCAATTTTGTTATGAATTTAAAAAGAAGTAAGAAATATGCATACAAAAAATTTATGATCATCTAAACAGCATATCAGTTAAATAGAAATATGAGAAGGTGATCAATCACCCTATGTTCTCTCTGATTTCAGAATTTGGCTTTGATAACTACTGTTTTCTTGTATTTATTAAATTTCACAATCACCAACACAATTCCCCTTTCAAGAGGGATTTTAAACGAGGGCTTTTTAAGACTACATTAATAGCCTAAATGCTGCCATATTAACATGGCATCATAAAACCTATGAAAATCTTCTTTGTAATAATAATTACCTATACATAATCTATGAAATGAAAGCCTTAGTATTACTTCTGACAAACAGCAGTCAGAAAGGTTTTACTCTTTGATGCTTAAATTACTGACTTTTGGTCAGTTTCACACCAAATTAAACCAAGCCATTACAACATCCCTCCTTCTCCCACTCCCCTGTCTTTTTCCAAATACTTTCAGGATATACCTTCAGGTAAATTCTGAATAGAATAAACAATGGCTTCAGGAATTCCCATCTCTTGAATACCAATATCCGAAGGATGGAAAAGTATTTCTGGAACTGCAAATCTTTCATTTGTTAGACGAAGTATTTGTTCACCGGTCTTGTATTTTCCACTTAACACCATCTCTTCCCTTGGCTAAATTAAAGACATGAATAGTATCCACTGCTTAAGAAAAGAAATCACATCCTAGAAAATTCAGCTGATCTATTTCATGTCCTGCAGAGGTAGGCAGTGTATGCTGCCATTCTCATATTATCTATCAGCAACTCTTTTAAGAATAATGCATACTCCAGTTTTAAATCTGAAGTGACTTTGCTCTAACCAACTGCAGTTTTGCCCAAAGCAAAATAAAGCTAGGTAGGCATGAGAGTAGCCTTAAAGTATAGGACTGCTTTCAAAACTATGGCTGGCTCAGTAAATGAGATAAAACTGTTAAACTGTCTTCACTGATATTTCAGGCTCTTCTATAACATTGAACTTTCAACCTTATTGGGGTGTTTAAATGTAATTCAGAGAAACTTACAAAAAAACCCATCAAAGCAGAGAAAACATTTCCTAACTTAATGTTCAAAATCTTAATAATGATATGGATAAGTTATATGCCAGAGCACAAAAAGAGAAAGCTACAACTGTTAAATAATAGAACATAAAATGCTATGCTAAAAAACCAGTATTTTGTTGTCATCCCAATTTACTGAGGAAAAACTTTACCAATTAATGCATAGCAAGAAAGATGCTACAGTACAGTATTAGAAAAAAGGGAGTATTTTTAACCTCTCCACTAGACTTGTGCAGGAAACAGCCAAAAAACTTCAGAATTATTATTACCTTACAAAATCCTTTTTTGATTGTGCTGAAGTCTGGCAAAACATAATCTACCATTACAGTATTTTCCTCTCCTTTCAATCTGAAAAAGAATGTAAAATTCAACAGAATAAAAAACAAGTTCTAAGTTCCAGCTATTTTATACTAACAAGACTTCTTTAACTTAACTGGAAAGTTTTCTGATAAGAGTACAGTTTTGTTTGTACAAACAGATTATTCTACATTTAGTACCATCGCATACATACTTGGCAATGTCCATGTCTTTGTAAAAGTCTTGAGAAACATAACACACATCTTCTTTCACTTGATTAATTACATGTGTTTCATCCATAACATGTAGCTGCCTGTGAACAACAAAAACCAAAACCACAGAAGTTTGAGAATAATTAAGTGTTCCCTTTCCTGTCCAGTTTTGCTCTGGAACTGAGCAACCATTGTTTTTCAGCCACAGGAAGCTACTGTCTCAATATCTAAACTTGCATTCAATTTACAAAAGCATTCCTGGCCTACTGGAGCTTAATATTGTCCTGTTTCACAGTTCAGTAAATACATCAACCTGCATTTGCCCACTGTCTTGCTAACAAGCACAGCTGTAATCCTGCCAGTAGCTCTTTGGTAAAGACCTTTACCTAGATATACTTCGAAGCTGAAGGATCCCAATGAAAGGTTGATCCTACTGCATTTTATTTTTCAGTATTGATACAATCAGTCATCAAACTGACTGATGATCTACTCAGAAAATATGTTAAGACTTGTATAATTGTGAACAGGTAACCTCAACAACTTCAAAAACACTGGCACTTTGAAAAATAACAGCCTAATTCTTCAATCTTAATTCATCTTGATCTTAAGGTCAAGATGGTAGCTAGCAGATTATAACAGACAAAAAATTCCCTTCTTTAAACAGCAATTAATCTAAAATTCACAGAACCAGTAAGAATACCCCATAAACTTCTAGCTCATTTCATACCAAGTTTCAGAGTGAAAATTAGGATTCTTCACCTGTAAGAGATGATCTCCTTTAGATGGTTGGTTAAGAGTTTCCCTCCAACATTAATCCTACAGAAAAAGAAAAGCATGAGGAATTCTGTCATTATTAACTTCAGGCACAGCAAGCAGTTCTTCTAGAAAATACATACTGCAGTATACCTGATGATTGCCTCTTTTTTCTTTTTACTTCTGCAGTAAGGTACAATGTGGGTAAAAGAGTATCCGCTATCCACGATGATACAACACAGCTCAGATGGATTATCCCGGAAATACCTGTGTGCACTAAGAGCTCCAGCTGAAATACAGAAGATTGAATTCCATTTTTTTATGAACATTTAGAATTCACAGTGATATGAAGGTGTACTTGCTTCATATTTTACATGCCTTTGACAGACTTTCAAGACCTCAATACATAGTAATACAGCCACTGCATTAATTCATTTTGGCAGAGGATAAAATTGTTATATATGGTCCTATTTAATATTTTTCAGGAATTCCAGTCCATGTTCCATTTCCTCTAAAGTCTAATCACACTGATCATGCTACAAACTTATCAAACTTATCAAAAGGAGTATCCTGTGTCCAGTTACCTATCAGAAGGGTGGTATGGTTGTTTACACATTCCCTTTGAGACACCATACATTTCATAATCATAATGCTGTATTTTATTTGCTAACACATAACAAAACCAAACAAAAAACCAATCCTACCCCCCTAAAAAAGGAAAGCTATCAAAGACTTCATGCAAAGTTTTGGTAGAATTCTTTAAATGTTATCCTGTTCCAAAATCCATCTGTTATTTCTGTCATCCTTACTCTCCTCAAATTTCCTGTCCTTATATACCATGACACTCTTTAGGAAGTAATACAAGACTACAGCTGGAATTTGTAAAAGATATAATTTTTAAAATGTTTAATCCACTTTTACTCAAGAGCCAGGAAGCAACTGAAGTAATATTTTTTACTATATATATCTGTGTGTGCATGCGTGCTTGCTAATTGATTTATTTAAAGAGTTAAGTTTCAAAATACATAAATGCAAACTAGAAGGAGACATACTCACCATTTACTCTAAGAACTGCTTGAAATTGATATTCTTCAAATAGAATTTCATTCATAGATTCTTGTATTGAAGTGAAGTTAAAATAAGGTTCGGTAATAATTATATTGGTATCTACAAAATCCACCTATAAAAAACATATTAAGATTGTCAGTACATAAAAGGTAAAAATTAAATAAAAATCCCTTACCATCTTTTGCAGCACTGGAAGGTCATGTGAATCTGAAGTCATGATTACCACCTGCCATATCTGTTTGTAGAAGCTAGACTTAAAATGGTTTAGCTTTTTAAGGGCTTCATGATCAGTGATACAAATTTATCTAATTAATGGGTAAAAAACATAATAGAAGGCAACACTTTCATACATATCCTGATTCTGTTTCCATCCTTACAAATTGTGATCCAACATTCTAAAGAGACACCACAAAGGAACACTACAATTTTAATGTAAAATACTTTACACTAATCCTGTCAGCTACAGAAAAATAACTCTCCTTGACAGCTCAGGACTTGCACCACAGATTACTTGTCTAATAACCAAAGCCCTGTACAGTGAAGAAACAATAATAAAACTCCCAGTGGCCTCTGCTGAGGCCAGCAAAGGATCCTGGATTTTCCATGTTTACCAGTATCTAAAACACTCTGTTAGAGAGGACTTAATATGGACATAACTGGATATGGCCCTAAAAACATTACCAGCTGTATCTCTCTGTAGTCTTCACTTGTGAAGAAGAACTAAAAACAAATTCTCAAAACCATAATTACATTGAATACAGTTCCAATATGAAAATGGAATTTATGTATCAAAAGCCAGCACTTTATATTTTAAATATAAAAATGTACAGAGACTAAGTTGATTTGAGGGATTACTTTCATTCTCAGTACGCAGGCGTTGGAAAAAACTCAAGCATTTCCAGAAAACATAATATTTTTAAAAGAAAAAAATTAAAAGAAAGTCTTAATACACTTCCTGTGCTAAATCCAGCTTGTGTGATATGAAAAAAAATAAAGCATCAGATATTTATATTTTATACATTTAAGTTATTCAGAGGTAGAAAATGGCTAGCCAAAGATGATTACTAAATGTGTATGTATTTTGGCCTACTGACCCAGCTCATCCTTCCCTTTTACATTTACTATTTCTTGATCTCTTAACTACATTCTATCTGTCTGTGATTAATTTTTATTAATTTGACCCCTTAATTATATTGATATGAATTTCTTATGTGAGCTGCACTCAGTACATACCTACAAGACTAAAAAATTTAAATAATTTTCAAAATTCTACACCAGAACTCAAAAACATTTGCAAAAACTTAAATCCCTGTGATTTCTAATTGAAGGCACTTTCAAAAAGAACAGTAAGATCACTTGTTCTACTTAATATTTGTTAATTCCATTAGTCAGTATTTAATCTACACAAAATATGTAGTTAAGAAAAGACTCTTACTTGATACATTTCTTTTCCAAAGAGATAATCCCAAACCTGTCTCTGAACATCCCAGTTCACCAAGTAACCCTGTAGGAATTTAGAAACAAATTTACACTGTTTAGAAAAAAAAAATCATACTTTAAAAAAACAGTCAACAATTGAGACTAGTAATATTAAAAAATTGAGAGTTAAAATGTCTAAATTTACATTTTTAGGCTAAGGAGTAAATGTTACATAGGATTAAGGTATTCCCCATTGATACATTGATTACTGCACTACAAAAACAATGTACATGATGTTTTCTGTATACATTATTGGTTTTGGCATAAGTTTCTCAGTCTTCCTCAGTGCCAGGGAAGCAGATTATGGAGCAGATTACCTGGAGTGCCACCACCCAGCATGTAGGGGACATACAAGTGATCAGGTCTAGTCAGCATGCAGCTTGACTAACTTGTTGTTCTCCTATGACAAGGTGCCCCACTGATTGGAGAAGGGAATGGATGAGAATGTTGTCTACATGGACTTTACCTAAGTTAGTAAAGTCTTTGACAGCAGTTCTCACAGCATTCTCTGGAGAAGCTGGCTGCTCATGCCTTGGGTGGATGAACTCTTTGCTGGGTAAAAGACTGGCTGGATATCCAGTCCAGAGAGTGGTGCTGAATGGTGCCACATCCACTTGGCATCCCATCACCAGTGGTGTTCCCCAGGGCTCAGTACTGGGGTCCCTGTGATCAACAATCTGGGCAAGGGAATCAGGTGTACCCTCAATAAGTTCACAGAAAGCACTAAGTTGGGTAGGACTGTTGATCTGCTGGAGGGTAGAAAAGCTCTGTAAAGATTTCTGGATGGGCTGGATTGATGGACTGAGGACAATCTTCTCATGTTCAGCGAGGCCAAGGGTGGGGTTGTGCACTTGGACCACAAAAACCCATGCAGCACTGCTGGCTTGGGGCAGAATAGCTGGGACATTGCCCAGTGGAAAAGGACCTGGGGATGCTGGTTGGCAGCCACTGAGCATGAGCCAGCGTGTGCCCAGGTGGCCAAAAAGGCCAAGAGTACCCTGGCCTGTATCAGCAATAGAGTGGCCAGCAGGATCAGGGCAGGGATTGCCCTTCTGCACCAGGCACTGGCGAGGCCACCCCTTGACTCCTCCTTTCAGTTTTGGCTCCCTCCCAACAAGAAAGACATTTTGAAGGACTGAAGCAAGTCCAGAGAAGGGCAACAAAGCTGGTGAGGGGTTCAGAGACCAAATCCTGTGAGGACCAGCTGAGGGAGGCTGTCTAGCCTGGAGAAATGGAGGCTCAAGGGGGACCTTATTGCTCTCTGCAGTGACCTGAAAAGAGGTTGTAGTGATGTGGTGGTTTTGTCTCTTCTCCGAGGTAACAAGTGACAGGACCAGGGAGAATGGCCTTAAGTTGCACCAGAGAATTTTAGACTAGAAATATTTTCTCACCAACAGGGCCGTCAACTACTGGCAGAGGCTGCCCAGGGAACTGGCTGCATCACCACCCCTGGAGGTATTTAGAAGATGTGCAGATGTGGCACTTAGGGACATGGACAGTGCAGGGTTAACTTTTGGACTTGATGATCTTAAAGGTCTTTTTCAACCTAAACACTTCTATGACTGTTAAACTTCACACTGCTGACTGATTCTTGTATGATACCACATATAACCCACAGTTGGGACATACAGTATGAAAACTATTCCTTAGAACAATTCACATTGGGCTTCAATGTTAAACTGAAGATATCTTACTTACTTTCTGAAAGGGAAGAATATAAAAAAGACCAGAGGGATCCTTAATTTCATCCAGTTGATTTGCCGTAAAGGTTTTCAAGCGTGCAGTCTTTGACCTGAATTGACAGTTGGGAATAACGCTGGAAAAGATTGGGAAGTTTCCTATTAAACATGGTATGAGACACATTCACTTTCTTTAAGCCACTTTCATAAACAGTGTACTTTCAATAATATTTTTACTGATGTATTTTGGTTTTAGTCCATTAGCTGGAGCCAGTCGTGAGGGAAATCTTTAATTTCTGACAACTCCAGTACAGACGAGACACTTTTTGGAAAACCAAATACCACCCCCCACCTCCGCCACCCCCTGCACAGCAGGAAGAGCGCCAGGGGCTCTCCCCCCACACCGGCCGGTGGGGCACGGTGTGACACAGAGGGGCACGGTGTGACAGAGGGACAGAGTGTGACACGGCGGGGCACGGTGTGACACACAGGTGCACCGTGACACACAGGTGCACGGTGTGACACGGCGGGGCACGGTGTGACACGGCGGGGCATGGTGTGACACACAGGTGCACGGTGTGACACAGAGGGGCACGGTGTGACACAGAGGGGCACGGTGTGACACAGAGGGGCACGGTGTGACACAGAAGGGCACGGTGTGACACACAGGTGCACGGTGTGACACGGCGGGGCACGGTGTGACACACAGGTGCACGGTGTGACACAGAGGGGCACGGTGTGACACAGAGGGGCACGGTGTGACACGGCGGGGCACGGTGTGACACACAGGTGCACGGTGTGACACGGCGGGGCACGGTGTGACACAGAGGGGCACGGTGTGACACGGCGGGGCATGGTGTGACACACAGGTGCACGGTGTGACACAGAGGGGCACGGTGTGACACGGCGGGGCATGGTGTGACACACAGGTGCACGGTGTGACACACAGGGGCACGGTGTGACACACAGGGGCACAGTGCGCAGCGCGGCGCGCGCCGCAGGGGCGGGCCCGCAGCCGCCGCAGGGGCGGGGCGGGGCCAGGCCGCGCCCCTCCGCAGCGAGCGCAAGCGCGCTGCGCGCCCGCGCGCCGGTGAGCGGCCGTGGGGCGCGAGGAGCGGGGCCGGCGGAGAGCGGTGGCGGCGGTGGTGAAGCCGTGAGGGGACGCCCAACGCCCGCCCCGCCCCGTCCCGGCCTCTCACCTGACGTTCGCGTGGCTGTAGCCGATCTTGGCGTTGTAGGCGCCGTTATCCAGCACCAGCGTCGCCATGTTCCCCACGGCGCCACGGCCGCCGCCGTCCCAGTATAGATCCGCCACCGCCGTGGATCTGTACGGTGACCATAGAGCGGAGGAGCAGCGCGCGCGTGGCCGCGGGACGCGGGAGTGCCGGCAGCGCTCCGCCTCTGCCGCGGGGCGCGCGCCCTGCCGGTGACGCTGGCGGAGCCGCGGGAGCCATTGGCCGGGCGTGACCCGGCAGCGCTCGTCACACGGTGGGCGGGGAGGTGACACGGCGTCACCGCGGTCAGCGCCCGGACCGGGAGCACGCTTCCCCGCCGCCGTCAGTCCCGCGGCGGCGGCACCGACGGCTGGGGACAAGGCGGGGGTGGTTAGGGCGAGAGCCCAGTGTGGCGGTGGTTTAAAGGTACACACTGCCTCGGGTGACCCTGCCGGCTCGGGACGCTGCGGTGCGGGAGCGCCGCGCCTCGGGATAAACTTGCTGAGTGACGATGTCATTGAGAAATGCGGAGCACCACGGGCCTGGGCTGTGAAAGAATGTGACACAGTGGAAAGGGGGACAACTAAATTCCATCATCATTGTTTTACTGTTACAAAATCACAGAATCAATTCGGTTGGAAAAGACTTGAGATCACTGAGTTCAACCTATGACTGAACACCATGGCACTAATGCATGGCCTTTCTTTAAACACCTTCAGGGACGGTGACTCCACCACCTCCCTGGGCAGTCCATTCCAATGTCTAATCACCATTTCTGTGAAACAATAACAACAAGTTCTGGTGCAGTTTAAGAGTAAGTCCTCGCATCCTGTCCCTGGTTGTCTGGGAGAAGAGACCAGCCCCCAGCTGCCTACAACCTTCCTTCATGTAGAAAGTCTTTCAAAGCATGCATAATTAACACTTTTATTATAAATAGTATGGAAAACAGTCCTATTGGAATTCTCTGTTGCTGACCAGCTTTTGTTTTACTGAAGTCTGTGTAGTATAGCAGCACACACCTTTATAGAATCATAGAACCATAGGACAGCACCAGGTGGAAGAGTGCTGAAAGATCATCTGGTCCAACCTTTCATAGTAAAGGGAACCATGATGAGATAATCTAACACCCTGTCCACCATCTTGAAAACCTGCAATTGGAGCTCCCTGAGGAATGGTTTTTGCAGTGATTGGTTGTTCTCACTGGGCAAAAGTTCCCTATATCAAGACAAAAGCTCTGCTGGTACAACTTAACACTTGTTTTTTGTCTTCTTGTGAAGAGAGAGCCTCCATCATTGTAGCCACTCTGTAAGTACCACAATACTGTGATAAGGTCCCCCTGAGCTTCTCCAGAAAAAAACAAAGTCCTTCAGTCTTTCTTCAGTGAGTGTTCTTGAGCCTTTGATCACCTCTATGGCCTTAGTTTGGATGCTCTCCAATTGTCCACAATTTTTTTGGAACTGCTGGGAGCAGAACTGGACACAATACTCCAGGTGTGGCCTGAAATGCACCAAGCAGGGTGGTATGGTCAAGTTTCTGTCCCTGCTAGCAATGCCCCTGAGGATGCAACCCAGGATCTGCTTGCTGCAGTGGTGCACTGCTAAGTGCAGTTCAGCCTGATGTCCATCCAGACCCCCAGGCCCTTTTCCACAAGGCTGTTTCTGTGACACACAGCTCTGAGCCTGCACTGGGCTCTGTGTGTATCTCATCTCAGGTGCAGCACCTTGCACTTGTCTTGTCTTGGTGATGAATTTTTCCTCTATTTATATGTTTTACTTGCCATCACTAGTTCCTTTGTTGTATTCCAGTAAAACCAAATGAGCATTACAGTTCTGTATTTGTGTGTAATTGACTTTCCTGAACTTAAAAATAACTGTTACTCTGTATGATGACTCTTCTCCCTAACAAATAAAAGATGTCTTTCCATGAGGCGGGATGTTCATTGGAACACATGGCAATCTCTTTTTAGACAAATCCTCTTTATGTGCTTGTGAAGGAAGTGTGTCTTAAGGACAGCTTCCTTAATCCTGACCGTAGCAGATACATTATTTGATTCTTGAGAAGAGGTCACAGGAATTATCAAAAGCCTGTTTTTCAAGTTCAGGAGCTCCTGGGTGCTTTTTAAGGAACACTGTAGGTTGTTTTCCTTCTTTGCCTACTGACAGGTATACTCATAGTAAATTTTGGGTTTGTAATTAAAATCCAAAATACACAAAACATAGAACAGTAACAAATTTATGAGGTACTCAGTGTTACAGAGAAACATAAAATACTACTCTTAAAACTGCATAAATTTTACTTTATCCTTTTACTAATATAAAGTTCTTAGAATAATTGTTTAGATTCAAAAAGTCCTAATATCTATTGCTAACTTTTGCCTTGTGAATATAAAAGTGAAAGCCAGATTTTAGTAAATTACTGTTTCCCTTCTAAATACTAAAATACTAGCTCCAACTCTATGAAGCTTCGCCTCTTATCATCCAATGACTTGTTAGGAGTTACTTTTGCTTTTTTCCTTTTTTTTTTTTTTGTCCTAGGATGTAGGACAAATGCCAGGCTTTTATTTAGATTTATATGAAGTGGTTGATATACATAAATATTTCAAATCTCTTCAAACTAAAGTTGGTGTATTTACTGTCATTGCTACTTGAGGGCAATTCACACATATTTATTGAGATTGTTTACACATTCACCCATATATTCCAATGGCACTTCTGATAAGACTTTCTGCTGTTGTTGGAGTAGGTAACACAGACCAAGTCAGCAAGGACACACAAATAGGAATTTCAAAAGTCCATGTGGTAGCAAACCTTGTACATTGCCCCTTACAATAGTGAGAATTGATATTTTGTGATGTTCTTTGAATAATGGTATATCAGACTACTTAAGCTTGCACATCTGCATTTGAAGACAGACCATTATCTTTTGCATTATTTATAAGAAGGCATGCCAGATTTCTCATTCTGCAAGTACTATACAAAGCACTCACTGAAACAGCTCAAATTTAGTTTGTTCTCATACCGCATCTCCTACTGCCTTATTTAATGGGAAAAACAATTTTTTAAAAAAATTCTGTGACCTTCATGTTTCTGAAGTTGCTTGAGCTCTATTTGGTTTTGGTTTTTTTCCTCTCAACTCCATTACAGTTTTTACAGTTAAGAAATCCCCATGAACACATGAAACTGTGAGAGAGTCAAACTCACTGTGCACACCCTCTACAAAGCACAGGTGCTCCAGTCTGTGGGAACAAGCAGCCTCAGAATGACTGAGTGGTGCCAAGTACAGAATTTCCAGGTTGTTTAGAGCATCCAAAGAAAGATTACCTTGAGGAAGAAGTTACCGCACTCTTTGACACAGAGGGCTGTTATCCTGGACTTCACATCAATGAACAGTGCTTTGTGTACCTGTATTTGTGTGATGGTGAAGGGCAGGGTGCTGGTTGAGATGACTGCCTGATGGAAAATCCATGGCTTCTTGAGTGTTCTGTTGAATTCACAAATTCTGTTGTGTTTGCATATAGGCCCTAAGAATACCTATGGCAAATACAAGACAATTTTTTTCTTTGAGGTCATTTCAGCATCCTGGATATGCTCACAAGTGGGGTTCTTTCTTAGTGACATGACTGCCATCTGTTCTGAGAGGGAGAGAACCCAGGAGCAAGGAGGGCTACTGTGGCCAGCAGGGCAGGGCCTTTCTAGACAGGGCCTGTCCCACCACCCCCAGCCAGGGAGCAAGGCAGACAGGCGTGGGAGTGAAGCCCAGAGCCCAGGTTATCAAGAAAACATGACAATGAAGCAGGTGGAACATCAAGCACATAAGACAATCCTCAGGTCACAATCATGATCAGGACTGGTGGGATTAGCAAGGGCCAGACATAGTCTGAGGATCATCATGCAGGTCCAGGGTGACTGGGAAGGTCTGAAATCAACATTGTTGCCCTTCTAATTCCCTTCTGGGTGAGGAGGGTGTGGTGTGTGGTGGGTGTTAATCTGTGCATTTTCCTCTGCTCCTCCTCACAGTATGCTCCAGGACATGGGGATGCAACATGAGGTCACAACTCAAATCAATCCTGCTGGACAGAAATATTTCTGGTCTTCAGTTCTGACACCAGTGAAGAGCCTCAGGACTTCCCCTGTTCTTCCAGAGCTATGCTTGCAGGACACTTGAAAGAGAACATATGGCATGGGTCCTGTTTTCCTTGCCCCTTGTGTTTGCTCTCTTGGTGAGAAGATGACCCATCATGATGATGAGTAGTGTTCTCCATGATACTGGTAAACTTCTTCCTAGTTGAGAAAACTGAACGTAAAACAGGCATAAAAGTGTTAGCTTCACACACAGCTCATTCCTACTTTATAAATCTCCTTAAGAATATAATGAGGTCAGTATTACACAACTGACTGATTTTTAAATGTCTGGAAAAATCAATTGAAAATGTTCATCTCCTGACCTATTTTTTCTATGCTGCTTCATATTTCTGACTTAAAGGTCCTTAGGGTTTTGGTTCATCACTTATAAATTATTAATATTATGTATATGAGAAGCAGAGAAAATAGTATCTGATGTCTTTCCTCTGCAGCTCAAGCTCTATTACAGAGGCCCATTCTGCATATGGAGGACACATCTGCAAGTTTTTAGTTTTCTGACTGATAATTTTTTCTTTTTCTTTTTTTTTTTCAGTTAATATTTTTAGGGTACTTGGTTACCCACCACTGAAATTCTTCCAGATGCCTTTTATGAATGAGGGAGTGCCAGAGGAAAAGGGTTACAAAACCATGTTTGGATGAACAAAACTACTACAAGACATTAATTTCTTAACTGACTTGGAGATTTTGCTACAGCATGAGAGGCTGTTCTCTCAAAAGTAAAATAACTCATAGGCTATATACTTGTCACAGATACCCAGCAAAATGTAAGCATTTGGGGAACAACCTGATTTTACAAGTCTCTGGGTTTGAGCAATTCGGATATAGGATATTTATATGTGTGTGCATATACATGTGAATTTCTTGCCATAGCATTGTAAGTTTCTGTCGGTAAGCTCTTCATCTTATCCAGCCTTGTTTCTTTGGTGTGGTGCTGTAGAAGCCTGCAGCTGTCCTATCTTTGGGCTTGGCCGCTGTCAGGCCCAGGCAAAGGTGTGATGGTGCTGGGACACGCTCCACAGGCGGGAGAGGGATGGAGCCACAGGCGG